CTCGTCTGGACCCCGTGCATTAATGAAGCTATAAAATACACAGTCCTCTCGTTCTGTGTGAGTGTGTGTGAAGTGCATGGACATGTGGTGGAAGGTGTTGTTCCTCAGGATGCTGTCCACTTTGTTTTTGTGAGAAAGAGTCTCTCACTGACCTGGAACTCATCAGTTCAGCTAGTCTGACCAGCCAATGGGCTTCAGGGATCCTTCTAGCTCCACCTTCCCAGAACTGGGATTCTAGCTGCATGTGATGGGCATGCTAAGAATCCCTTGCCAGGTCCCTATAAGCAGTTATTAAAATGGGTTTTTTGACTTAGCAAAATATCATCAAGCCTCATTTGTGCGGTAGCATGAACTAGTACTTTATTCCTTTCTATGGCTGAAACATAACTCCTTGTATAGACAATAAATCACATTGGCTTTACCCATTAATGAGCAGGTGGAGATTTGTGCTGCCTTTGCCTTTTGTCTGTTACAAGTAATACTGCTATGAGCATTGGTATACAAGCTTCTGTCTTGCCATGTTCTTTAACTCTTGGGAATATGCCTAAGGGTAGAATTATTGGATCATGTGGTACCTGGAGATACCACTAAATTGTTTTCCAAAGCAGCTTCCCAATTGAACATTTGACAGTACACAGAGGTTCCAGTTTCTTAAGATCCTCACCAACACTTACTGTCCTTGCTCTCTCATGTTTGTGTATCTGTCTATGTGTTTGTAGTGGCCAGATGTTGACATGGGGTGTCTTCTATCACTCTCAACTTTGGTTTTTGAGAAAGGGTCTCTCACTGAACCTGAAACCCATTGATTCAGCTAGACTGAATGGCCAGCAAGCTCCAAGGATCCTGCTGTCTCTGTTTCTGGGTGGCCAATGAACTCCAGGGATACTCCTGTCTCTGTTTCCCAAGCACTAGGATTATAAGTGGTCATCACCACACCCAGCTTTTGCATGGGTTCTGGAGATTCAAACACAGGTCTGTCCTCATGCTTGTAAGGCAAGCACTTTACAGATCGACCCATGACTCCAGCCCTGTTCATTTGTTGTATTACAATCATGCTAGTGGGTGAGAAGTTTTGATTTTCATTGTAGTGTCAATTTTCCTTTCCCTGATGACTAATCAGAGGTTAAGCATTTTTTTCACGTGCATTTTGGATATTCACATATCTTTCTCACAGAAAGGTCTCTTTAGAACCTTAGATGGGTTGATTTACGTCTATGAGCTGCAGTCTTACCTAAAAGAATAAGGGATGGGTTTGCCAAGTGTTCATAAAGGAGACTGTCCCGGTTTCATTTCTGTTGCTGTGACAAATACCTGGATCTGAAGTAATATAGGGGGGAAAGAGCTTATTAGCTTACAATATCCAAGTTGCAGTTCATCATTTGGGGATATCAAGGCAGGAGCTTAAGCATCATATCCACAGTCAAGAGCAGGAAGGGACAAATGCACCCATGCTGTCTGCCTGATTGTTGCTCAGCTTGCATTCAGCTTTCTTGGTACAGTTTAGGGTCCCCTGCCTAAGGAATGATGCTGCCCTTGGTGGTCTGGGTCTTCCTATATCAGTTAAGAGTCAAGACAACCCCCCACAGACAAGCTTACAGGCCAAACTGATCTAGATAATTCCTCAACTGAGATTCTTTCTAGGTGATTCTAGGTTGTGGCAAGTTGACATTTAAAACTAACCATTAAAGGGACTTTTCAGTCCAATCATCCCTGGCTCCATGAAGCACATGTGGGAACCATTCCTTCTTTGTCCTTCCCATCTCTTTGGTCTGAGTGCTTTCCTAATATCCACTCTACTTCCTGAAAAACATTCATCACTACCACTAACATAAGCTACCTAGGAAATGCACGTCATTCACCTTGGCTTTGAGAGAATTTACTAATCATGTTGTATTTGTTCCCATAATGGAGACTAAGGTATGCTGGATAGCTTTAGTTGTCAACTTGACACACCTGGGTTGCCTCCATTGGTCTGGCCTGTGGCCACGTCTGGGGGGCATTTTCTAGATTGTTGAGTGATGTGGGAGGGCCCAGCCCACTGTGGGTGGAGCCACTCCTGGGCAGGTGGGCCTGTGTTGTATAAGAAATCAGGTTGAGCAGGGGACAGGGGAGTAAACCAGTAAGCAGCATTCTTCCATGGCCTGTGCTCCAGCTCCTGCTTCCAGGTTCCTGCCCTGAGTTCCTACCTTGGGGTCCCTGATGAATTGTGACCCGGGAGATATAAGCCCAATAAACCCTTTCTTCCCCAAGTTGGTATTGGTCAAAGTATTTTATCACCACAATGAAGAGACAAATTAGAATAGAAATTGGTACCAGGAGTGGGCTATATCTGTGACAGACCTGACCTTGGTGTTTTGGGAGGATTGTAAAAGTGTTTGGAACTTTGGGATGGAAAAGCCATTGAGTGCTTAGAGTTTGTTACTGTAGAGCTTGGAACGGTTATGCTGAAAGAGCTGTGGACAATGGAGGCCTGACTTGTGAAGCTTCAAAGGAAGGCGGAGACTGTCAGGACTGTTTATGTGATATCTTGAATTGAAAATCTGTGGGATCTGGCCCCTGAGGCTGAAGAGTCAGCTGTGATTAAGAAGAGACCAGAACCACTCAAGTAAAACCTTTGCTTTACTGGAACAATTCATGGTGGTTAGCTGGGCCTGAAAAATCAGCTGTGAGTAACAAGAGACCAGCATCCCTGAAGTGAAATCTTCTGGGAAGTATTTCCTCAGGGTCTGCAGAGCTATGATCCAGAGCTATGATCCAGAAGGGGCCCAAGCCTCCATCCTAAGTTGGAAGCAGGACTTGGTAATGTGTAAGAGTCTCTTGCATGGTTCTGGTGTTGAAAGCATGTAGGGGTCACAGAAAGCAGCTGAGGCTTGGCACCTTGAGAGTCCAGGAAAGGCCCTTTGTGAAAGTGCAGTCTCAGTTGTAGTGAAGACCTGAGGATTGAAGGGGTCATGGAGAGAAGCTCAGATTTTGCACCTTGAGAGACCAAAAGAGGCCATTGATAAGGTTCAGCCTCAGTTTCAGTGGAGACTCCAACTTCTTGGAGATGCCAGGACCATGGGACTACCACCAAGGGCAGCAGCAGATGTGGAAGGAAACCAGCCTGGGCCTTTGAGCTGTGTGTGTTGCGGATGGCAGAGTCAGAAGTGGAGCTGCCAAAACCTGTTGCAGCCCAGAAGATTGGGAGTGAATCCCAGATGTCCAGCCATAAGACACCTTGCTGGACTTAGGTTTTGCTTAGGTGTACCCAGTTCTTCCCTTTTGAATAAGGCAGTATTTTTTTTATTTTACAGGAGCCCACAGTGAAGAGACTTTTAAAAGAGACTGTAAACTTTTAAGTGTTCAAATTTTTTAAGGACTGTGGGACTTTTAAGGTTGTACTGCCTTATATTGTGATATTAATTAACATCATATCTTGGGGACAAAAAATGGAAAGGTTGTGGTTTAAAGTGATGTTTGTATGTCAAATTGACAAGAGGTCAACTGTGCTGGAGAGCTTTAGTTGTCAACTTGACATACCTGGGTTGAGGGAGCCTCAACTGGGGAATTGCCTCCATTGGACTGGCCTATGGCCATGTCTGTAGGACATTTTCTTGATTGTTGAGTGATGTGTGTGGGCCCATCTCACTGTGGGTAGTACCACCCTTAGGCAGGTTGTTCTGGATTGTGTAAGAAAGCAGGCTGAGCATGGGCCAGGGGAGCAAGCCAGTAAGCAGCATTCCTCTATGGCCTGCGCTTCAGCTCCTGTCTTCAGGTTCCTGCCCTGAGTTCTTACCTTGGACTCCCTAATGAATTGTGACCCAGGAAACGTAAACCAAATAAATCCTTTCTTCTCAAAGTTGCTATTGGTCAGAGTGTTTTGTCACAGCAACAGAGAAACAAACTAAAACACAAGGTCAGTACCTGATATCCCATTTATTATGAGCCTCTTCCTGGCTCACCACCAGGCTCTCAAGGTGTTATGTTTCTATCATGATCAATATCCTCTTCTTAATGAGTAAATGGATACAAGGGTCTCTTCCCAACTGTAAAAGTTGTCAATGACAACAAATGCTATTGATTCAACAAAAATAGAAAAATTCAAAATCCCATAACCTGGGATTTTACTTAAACTCTTAATCTTTCTCTCCATATATACATGTATTATATATGTGTTATATATATGTAATATATATATATATATACACACACACACATACCTAGCTCAGTTTGTAAAACGCTCACCTTACAAGCATGAGGACCTGAGTTTTATACCTAGAACCCACGTAAAAACCCGTGCTTGTCATGGTGATACTTGCTTGCAATCACAGAGCTGGGGAGCTGGAGATGGAAGGATCCCTGAGGTTTGCTGGCCAGCCAGTCTAGCCTACTTGGCAAGTTCCACCCAGTGAGAAGTTGCCGTCTGGCCTCCACATACATGCACACATCCATATATACATATAATATATAAAGACAAAATACAGGCATTTGGTAGAACACACAGAATTGAATTCTGAAGTCAAA